GAATATCTGAGATATACGGCAACGTCATTTCGCTCTCGCTGAAGAAATAATATCTATCGACATTATACCAACTGATCCGAGGAGGAGTAAGATGAATCGACTTACCGCTTGCTTCCTTTCCCAGCTCTTCATCGCCGACTTGTACTTCTCGAACTCGTGACACCAGTCGGAATAAATCTTCTGGTAGTCGTTGGACTTGGCAGGCGCCGAACATCTGTGCGCGTCCACAGTAATGTTGTACGAACACAGGAGAGCACCGCCGAGCCAACAGTCGTATCTGCCGGCGTCCTGCTCGTTCACGCCGACGATTACCAGACCCTTCTCCGAGGTCTCGATGAATTTGTCGCCGCCGGCACCATACTTGTACGCGATCTGATACCTTCCCTTCTCTTTGCTGTAATGGTACCACCGCACTTCTTGGTTCGCCAGGACCTCCGGCATCTTCACGAAGCAACCCAGATGCACCGACTGGCCCCATGTGACAACTAGTTTCCGTTTGCCGACGCTGCTGTCGCAAACGTCTGCCGTGGTGTTCGACACGTCTTGAAGAAGACTGCGTGAAAAAAATTAATTAGAAGTCACGATTATACACGCAATAATTCTGTCGCGAGCATGTAATCTCGAACACTCACGTTGCCGTTGATTTTATTCCGAAATATTTCGAAATTGAATTTTGATTCGTCAGCTGCAATTTTCTTTTTTCCTTTATTTTATTTTATTTTTTTATTTTTGTAAAAGTATTTCATTTCACCGGACGGAAATGAATCTGCGGTAACTGAAATATACGATGCGTAAAATCGGCGCGAATATTTCTGCTCCGAAATCTGCGTACCGTAATCAAACGAGCAAATTATGACGAAAATTGAATGTGTTTTATTCTTTTTTTTTTATAATACGTGTGCATCTTGCGTAAAATTAAAGATTATAAATTGCACTCCGCGTGTGTACTCGCAATTTATTTTACGATCATGTTTACGGAGAATGCGATGAGCACTTACCCTGGTTCGTAAGGTTTACACGTGTTTGAGTCTTTATCCCATCCACAGTAAGGATCATGGACGCACCGCAAGCAGTTGTCGTATCGTCGAGTGCACATTACCAGATCGATCTGCTTTATCCGATGATCCGATGCCACGTAGAGAGCCTTATGTTCTTTCGAGATCTCCATCGCCTGTATCGGCTCGCCAGGCGTGACATCGAAAACATCCAACAAGATCGATTGAGATTCGCCATTACTGTCGATCCACTGTACAACCTTGTGAACGCGGCCATCACCTATAACATGCGATAAGAGACACGTGCTCACGCATTTTTATCGGAGAACAATAAGTTATCAGAGAACAATAAGTTATCGCGTTTCTATTCATCTTGACAGATATTCGATAGTTTGCTTACTAGAGCCAGCGTAGTAGACGGTATAATCCAAATCGATGCCCACGAAGTCGATGCGCAGCTTATCGACGACTAATCGCGTGAGCATGACGTCCCGCTTGTAGAAGACCGGTTTCTCGTTTTCATGTGAAATCGCGGAGTCCATCAGTGGATGGGATCTTATGAAATTCAGGACGGTGTCCGGCAACGTCTCTGTGTCGTTAACACATTGGCCCGGGCGCGGTTCCGGAACCTTGTTGGACAAGACTGGTAGCCACGCGCTACTGCTAGTTGCTTGTTCTTTGAACTTTCCTCGGAAAGCCTCTTGGATGGCGTCAATGTGGAAGGAACATATCGCAGAACCCATTAACCCGTTCGTCGATGTGGTAAAGGTACCATAGAAATGCGTATCGTCACCCGGCACCTTATAAATACTCTCTGAGCAAGAATGCATTAATATAATTATATGTCGCCAAAATATATGTGTCAGAATGTGAACATAATAAAAATAAAGATTTTGTAATATCAGATATCATTTCGATTAGACATTTTTATCATAACATTTTTTATATAAGAGAAAAATAATTATAAATATCTTTAATTCTCTGCCGGGAAAAAATTGGGATTTTTATCATCAATATTTTTGATTGTGAATTTTGATAGATAAATTTAAATCTGTAAAAAAACAAAAATGCAGTCCGAATTCTAATATATCAGAATTTTTAGATAATCCGGAACAATAAAAAATTTGCTCTGTTTTTCAAAAATCTCCTATTGTGCTGACGGAAGAATTAAAATTCATGTTCATTGCCGGCGGAGGGTTAAAAGCACTAAATTCTAAGTGTGTAAAAACATAGAAAGGAAAGTGTAATTTATACTATAAAAAATATGTCATACAAAGCAAAAATATAGGTATCATATTATACAACATATATGTCGATACTCACGTATTTCGTTGAAATAAAACGGGAATTCGCCGGGTATCGAGCAATTCAATCTGGCCTTGAGGTATGTGGCCCAATTCTGCGAAAGTATATTTTTACCGCCAGTGTCCCTCTTGCAAACTCTCGCCACGCGGGAATACACACTTTTACCGCAGTTTATGTATTCGACCGCGGTCTCGCGGAAAAAGAAGAACACGTGGCTGCCAATGTCGAACGAGCCCACAAAGTTCGGTTCTACAAAGAGAGATAAAGAGGCGTGATATTATCTGAGCATTAATCCTCTGATATTTTCGAGCGCTTTGAAATCTGTTCCTTGCAATTCTATGTACGTTTCCTCGCTGAGACGATATTTCGCAGTTGCAAAACTGTTCAACCAGAATATTCTGGCGAGTTTATATGGTCGCGTAATCTAGCCGTTAGCGCGTCTACCTCATTCTACAGCAAAATAACTGCATCTAGAGCAGATAATTCGCGTAGATTCTCCGCAATAAGCGCGCACAATAATAATCGCGAATCGAGTATTCGCCGCGGGTGGTACACGAGAAGATGTCCTTGCTCGTTCTATGCGTAAAAACTTTCATCGCCGGGACTGTTCCAGCTCCGTTCAAACGCGGACAATAATCTCCTCCGAATTCCGTTTAACTGCAGGCAGTTCGTAGGCAATGGTATTATTTTGTGCCTGTTTCAAGAACAAGCGAAGGGAAGATAGAGTAAAAAAACGAAATTATATAGCAGAGCTTAGAAATAATGCACTTTAATTGCGTCCTTTGAAAACATTTCATGGAAAATAATCTGAATTCAGTGAAAAAATGATTTTGCAATCTCGTGTTATTTGGTAAATTAATTTATAATAAATTTTTTTCGACGAAATTCATTTCGTCAAATATATAAATAACTAAAATTAAATCGCAATTCATCAACATCCAGCTTGAAAAACTACACAGCGTAAGAAGTGCCATTAAAGTGGCTTTATTGAATTTCGCATAGTAGAATTATAAGAATTTATTATTATTTTTGGATAAATTACGCGAAGAAATAACATTGTTAAATTCGTATTGTCAAATTATACCTACCTAATTGAATTTTAATTATTTATAAAATTATTTCTAATGTCTAAAAGTTGTTATTGTTCCTATTCAATATGTTGTTAATTTAATTAAAACAATTTAACTCAAGAAATATATTAAATTCAAATTAAATTTAACTTATTATTTAAATGTTATATGTAATATGGATTGTTTTTAAAACTCGATTCTTTATTTTAAAAGCGACAGAAATGGATTGATTTACATTTTGGCATATCAGGAAATTAAAAATAACAAAATATTATTTAACTCGAGAAACTGAGTTACTATTTGTTCCTTTAATATCTAACAATTAATTTTTCAACGATTTAGTGAGTCCGTAGCTGGGGAGTGTTTTCGAGATATCGGTTAAGAAATATTACATGTAATTAACACACAAATATATCTAGTTGGAAATAATTTACTACAAATCAACTTCAACCTGTTTTCGATCAACGATTTTCGTGTATCTGTGGTTTGGCTACGAACTAGATTCAGGTCCGATATGTGTCATGGCATAAATCGCAAATATTTGCGTTATTCGTAGCTCGATGCAAGCGTTGCGGTTTAATCTTGGTGTAATTGCTTGTTGTACCGAGGAAACTGATTTATTCTACACAACGATAAAGTTGGAGTTGGGTGACGCGAGAAAATGGCGAAGAAAATCGAATTTTTCCACGTTTGAATCGCGTCAACGTCGCCAGAATCGAGCCGGGCCTTTCTTGTCGATTTTACATTATGATGTGACGGCGCTCGGCTGGAGGCCGCCGCAATCTCTCTCACGGTTCAGCGATTAAATCGATTGTCTGACGCTTCGACGGCGGAAGTTTGATATATTGGGGCGGTACAAGCCCGTGTAGATAGACAAAGACGAGCGAAGAGAGAAATAATTTACGAAGAGGAGACGTGGAAGCATCTCGTAGCAAGATGACTTTTGATTGTGTACCCCGACATTGTTGACGAGTAACATACGACGGAGTTCGCGAACACTGAAAGTGTTCGCTTATACTTAAAAAAGAGCGTCTCATTACATCGCGACAAAGCGATGTACTTTCACATTTTAAATGCAACGGATATTCGAAAGGAAGAACGGTTAATGTTCCAGCAACATTCCGCACGCGCAAGGATCCGTGAAAGTAAACGCTCGTCAGCTAGTTATTCAAAGCTTGTTAAGTCCACTGCGTTTTACTCCCTATTTTTCTTCGTCTCTCTTTCCGTCTGCGATTTACCCTCCCGGAGCCGGCTTTCCTTATCATGACCTCGCACCACGAACCGCATCAGTCTTCATTGCGTCTTGCCGCCAAGTAAACCGAAGAAGCGAGAAAGAGAGACTATGAGCGAAGAAGGAAAGTCGATGAGGAGGAAGGGTCGAGAGTCGCGAAGATTATACGAGAAGCGCGCGTGGAGCCCATCCGTCTCTTCCGGGACTCTTGTCTGCTTTTAATCAACGCCTCTGTTAATAGACAAACTCGATGCGGAGAATGGTCCTTGATGGCGCTCAGTAGTCTTGCTTGTAGGGTCTAAATGGAGGTGGCAGCTTGAGGAGGCGGAGGAATAGACAGAGAAAGAGAGGCAAGGAAAAAGAGAGAGAGAGAGAGAGAGAGGGAGGGGGGGAGAGAGAGAGAGAGAGAGAGAATAGCGAAAGGGCTGCCGGTTCGAAATTAAACGACGAAACAAATAGCTAATCATGCATCCCGCGGGAGGGCGCGAAGGATACAAAGTGGGACAGAGTCGTCCAACCATTCCCTCCGGCTTTTGCCGCTTCGATACCGCGACCTTCCTTTCTTGTGACGAAGGTTGAAGGAGTGGGCTCGAGTGGTGGCACGCTTCGACAGGGTGAGGAAAAGCGGAAGCAGCCCCCTCGAGAAATACAAAGCAGCCACCTAACCTTCTTGCGCCATTATTACGGTCCGATATGTCGCGCATGAACGCTCGCCGCAAAAGGATTGTTAAAATTAATTTTTGGAAAGTTAAAATTAATTTTTATCCGGACAACTTATTTTCTCGCCAACCAAAAAAAAAAGTAATTTTTATAATAATTAATAAATAAAAAATATTTATTTAACAAGAACTTACATAGATATTTCGTTTGCATTTGACTTGATGAACTAACGAACGACTAATATTCAATGGGAAATGTAAACTATTTGTGGAACAAGACTTTCTTGACAATCATTTCAAAATGTAGACAGTCAAAGGATTTCGATATTAAACGATCGTATAACTAAATTTCGTATAACTAAAATTTCGACGTATTCCTCGTGTCCCGTCACGACCGACGAACCTAACGAATCGGATTCTATTTACACTTGATCATCGCAAATCAGCGCGCTCTACACCCCTACCTCCCGCGAGTTACGCTATTAAATTCCATGTCGGATTGTGTGTCTATATTCGACGCACGTCCTAATCTACATTTTCCAATTTCCTTGCCGGGCCGCTTTTGCCGCGCCTCTCACGTTCCGCGTTCCGATAACGAAAAATCGAGAGGATCGCAATAATCCCGGCCGACGAATCAGAGAGCCGGTAAAACTGATTAAAGCTCAGGCTTCCGAACTACGCGGGACGAGGTAAAGCGGGAGAGAGCGGTTTCCGGCGGACGGACGAGAAAACTTTAACTTCTTCAGTCGGCTCGCTTTCTCTCCTTTTTCTCGAAAAAGGAGAGGGTACTTTCGTCGAGAACGCAGCATTTAGGATGAGGAAGATCGCGTCGGGGTGTTATTTTATTACCCCGTTTGTAGAGAAAGAGAGAAAGATCCGGCACTCTCTCTAACCGGTCCGATAGCGAACCTAGCGCCGAACATCGCCCTCCAAACTCCTATAATTCCACTTCTAACCCACCCCTGCCGTCGTTCCCCTTTTCTTCGCGAGAACCTCCTCGTCAGCGAGGAAGGCAGTAGTACCCTTGGAAAATAGGCGGGGCAGTTTATTCGCATCCATTTGAACCCGAAGCGTGTTCCCGGCTGACGAGGTTCTACTTCAAAGCTCCCTGTCTATTTCCTAAGCAGCACACCCTTCCTGCATGGTTTCTTTAGGAAGACCTGCTTCGGTTTTTAGCCGATCAAGAACGACCCCTTCTTTCTATTAATACTATGCGCTCTAAGCCTAATGGAAATTTCATTGTTCCCTCGACACGCCGTAATTATCTTCCAGTAAAGGTTTCTCTATGAAGTGCGGAGATTTAAGTATATTTGATAATGATGGACGATACTGATCGATGTCTATACGTAAAAGAAACGTAATTATAGAAAATATGCTTCCAAAAGATACTATCACATCAAAGATTCGAATACGTCAAATATTATAAAATCATTGAATATAATTTTCGATTCAATAAAAGAATATGGATATTCTATTAAGTTTAATTATTATAAGCTCTTGGCTAATGATATCGTTTGTAAAAAGAGTACTCACTATCGAGCCATTTGGAGTCGTACTTGAGTGTCCTCTTGAAGCTATACGTCTTACGACCGGTAGTCAGATTGTAGAGATCCGTGCGGAAGATTACAGTATCGGCTTTGGTGAACTCAGCGTTCGTGCCGGAATAAAGAGCTGGCAGGTCTCCGGGATTGCCCTTCTCGACCCAGACTGCCGTCGAATTGTCCGCAGGGTCATAAGGACACTTCGCGATACCCATTCCTACTCCCGGGACAAACTCGTGGCGCGGTAAGTGAGTCAGATTGCTCTGGAAAGAACATTATTTGGGGGACATGGTCAGATAGGCACAGATGATAAGATGTTATAGAAACAAAAGGGGTGAGTTAAAAGGCACAAATCTTACAGAAGGTAATAAAATTATAAAACCAACTTGATTAACCTTTAAATAAATAGATGATTTAAAACGCAAATTGATAGATAGAATGCTCATAATACTCCTAAAAAGATTATAACTTTATAATTTTTTTTACTAGTTTTTTACTTTTAATTTATATTATTATACTTTTATAAGATAACAAAATGTAAAAATATAAAGATTTTAAGACTTTTGGACCCTAGGCAGTGCTTTTCATTTTTCTTTTTCAAAACGAGATTTTAAAGGAAATTATATCTGGAATGCTATAGCCATCTCATCTATTCACTTAAAGGTTCCATTTTAAAAAAATATCAATTTCAAGCTGATTAATAAATTCGTAGATAAAAAAAATAACAAAAGAAATAATTTTAAAGCATGTTGTTTAATAAATTTATGATATTTTAATATATATAGAGGAAAGTCCCCTATTATGAGATAAGCGCCTAATATCAGATAGTGGCGTTTCTACTAAATTAATAAATGCTATCTATTGGTTCCATGAATTTATATCTTAAAAACTATTTAGTAGAAAATTCATTATTAGATCATGCCTTTAGTCATAGAAACAAGATTTTAGAATTTGGATCTCTTCAAGTTTCATTGAGATGAACATTTAAATCTTGTTTATTATTTAATAAATAAATTTTTTTTATAAATAAATTATTTGGCAATAAATTCTTCATGTAGTGATACAGTAAAGTCGTACTAATAGAAAAATACGGGATATGTTGAATTGTTTAATTACAGAAATTAGATTTGATGATCGTAAAACCACAAGGCGTGGAAATCATAATATAATATGAGATATTCAGAATATTTCTAATGTAAAATAATCCATGCTCTTATGTTGTAATGAAAATCGTTGCTAAAGTATAAATATTATTGTACAATAAAAAAGACAACCGGAATGAATGTCGAGTGCCTATATCTACGATGCTTGATTCCAACTAACTGAGAACGAGTTCTGTATAATCTATTGCATGCTCATTTTTTTGCGTACGCTGACTGTGTTTGTTTGTATTTTAGAAACATTAAATAAAGTTTTCTAGTCGCAATACTGATATATTATACTTTGTTTTACTATCGATTTCTCGGGACATCTCATATTAGGAGCACAATTTTTTGAATTTACGATTTGCTCATTTTTTATATTTCTTTAATTTCCAAAAAAAAATTTGAATTAAATTTTATGTAACATGCATTATCTTAAAGCTTATTAAATTCTCTTCAAAATTATTATTATTTTTTCAAATTCTTTTTAGACTTCTAGCATTTATCCAAAATAAACTCGGTATCTTATAATAGGGGCCTTTCCTCTACACACACACACACACACACGCACACACACACACACACACACACACACACACGCACGCCCACACACGCGCGCACACACACACACACACACACACACACACACACACACACATTTATAAAATTTAATACCGAACATCTTGTAATTTAACTTTATTTAGTAGTTACAATCTCTAGCAGTAACTTAAGTAAGGAGCTGGATGTTATTACGCGAGATGTTACGGCACACCCGGGATTCATAATGTTTAACAAAGCGAAACTGTTGTATCTTTTGTTGTTATACGGATACTTAAACGTAAGATTCATTCATCTACCCGGATGCTTTGATGCACTGTATACGATTTTGCAAATCACATCATGCGGATTTATACTATTGCGATAATGCATGTAAATTTCCATTAATAGCAGCATTATTCATTATATGGCTTTAAATATTTCGACGGGAATTAAATTAAAATGTACCGAGGAATGCGTGAGTGGCGGTGAAATTTATTCGTAACGCGAAAATTAATTAACGATATTATTTTCAGATGCCTCCTCGCGTTCTGTTATTAATTAATTAAATTAAGCGTAAAGCAACACAAATTGGTGTGCGTTACACGTATCACGCTGAATCCGTAATACATTCAAGGGAAGTTGCGGATGTATTTAACATCGTTTCGCATTTTCAATTTTCAATAAACAAATGACAGCAAACGTTTAAACGTATACATATATTTTTTTAGCTCTTTGCCAGACCAATTGTCGTTTTTAACAATTTCACAATCCAATCGCAAACTGTCGCGTATTACAAAATCAAATTTAACGAATTTATTTAGTATACATTGCATTTGTAAGGTATAAAAGGAAAAGAGAATTGAATGATGTGAGAAAACAATTGTAGTATTTAATATCCTACAATACTATTGAGAAAATAAAAATAATTCCTCATATTATAACTGAGAAGTTTAAGATATTATTAAGGTATTATGACATTTAGTGATTGATATGTAAAGATAGACTATCTTAGTCGTCTATTTATATCTTTACCTGCTTAAAGGTTACATTTACATAAGATATGTAATAATTCATACAATCTTAAATTCACATTTACACATAGAAAGAAAAGTTTTGCTGAAATATTTAAAAATATAGCTAATAGATCTGAAAAATAATTTTGTTCGATCATCAAAAAATTATATATTATTCCAGAACGCTCAAACTGGTTGCTAGAATGTCAAAACTTTTTACAGCATTGCTCTTCATGCTTGAGATTCCTGCGTAATTATTTCGATGTGAGCCAACAAAATTATTTTCAAATCTTTATCTTGCTAAAAAAAATTTTTATTAGTACTTCAAAGTTGTCCTTTCCATATATGTGTTTTATATTTTCTCTATTGAAAGTAACATGAAAACTTACATAAATCACCCAATCCTTAGGTGAATGTGCATTCGTACCGCACATGTAAAGGCGATTGCCGTCTCCCATCGGCTGTATCACTCTTATATGATTTCGGCAGTCGAAATGCTGGAAAAAGAAAAATCGGAAAAATTAAATTCAGTAGTGTGACGTGTATTGGCGATAAGAAAACCGTTGCAGACATAGTGCATAATGTTCGTAAATGAGTTCAATATGCAGCCACGTTCCCTTCGAACTCTGGGAAAGCGAAAGATCGCGTCGCGTGCGCAATGGAGTCGTCGCGGTCGATCACGTCGTGCGCGTATTTCGCGGCGAATCGGTGTACGGGAAATGAATTGGCTTTGTCGTCACGTAGGGAATATTTGCGTGGACCTTACACCTCGACGACGATGCGTACACGGTGCATACGAATGAAGCTGTGATAAGCGCGCGCGAGCACGCGTGTCTATGGAACAGAACGCAATTGTGCTCGTTTTATCGCTGTAGTACCACGATTTCGGGATATGAATAAAAATAGATGCGCGTTAAAAAAAATCAGAGTTCCAGACTTTAATTTTTGGTAACGATACGGTAATTGGGAAAACTCAATCACACGTACGATTCTTCTTTACGTTACAATATTTATATACTAAGATTTATATACTAAGATTAAAATGTAACTGATTAGTAGAAAGTAGATGAAATAAAGAAAGAGATAGAGATTAGCTAACAGAACTTTAATATACTTGTATAATTCAGAATTTAAAATGCAGTGCAGTAGAAGTTGGTGTAGATTATTCGGAAAGAAGAATGCTACGATAAGATCCCTTTGCATTAAAGATACAAATGAGATACATTCTCTCTCGAATATGGAATAACACCGCAGTATCTATTAAAAAGTAAACTTGCATCTTTCATTTCGCGCGCCTTCAAAGAAACTGGCTCTTTTTATTTTACTCCATGTCGGCTGTTTATGACTTTTTTCTTCTCGATGTTATGTTTTATGTCTTTTTTGCAATCACAATTCTTTGGCCTTTCTGTTTCAGGACGCATTCAGGCCAGTTTACCGATACCGGAATTAAAATTCTTCTCAAAGACAACGCGCATTGAGAAAAAGAACGCAAACCGAACTGTAAGAAAGAAACCTACCTCTGATTTGCCTTTGGACACGCAATTTGCCACATTGCTCGGTTCCAGATTCAGAGCGTCTCTCTGCAACAAAGAAAAAACATAAATTATATCACATTCTCTTGTAAATTAAAGCAAAATTTATTGGAAAACTTGGGAGAGTTATTGCACGCATGTGTATATAACATTTGTTATAAAGTCTTCGAAGATATAAATCCTTCAAAAAATTCGAATATTTCATATTGAAAGAATAAAGAGAATTCTATTTCGAAAGCGACCTCATAATTATTCATTTTTTGAGGGAAATCTGCAGGATTCCTTTTTGTAAGTGCTTTCTTACGGATGCTCGACCTGCTCGACCTTACAAGAAGTGTTACAAGTGCATACTTCATATTTTGTCTTGTATTACGCCACTGTCGCAGTAGCCTCTCAGCTGCTAACACGGCTAGAAAGACGCTAGAAATACATCAGAATAAGGTCAATATTCAAGAGATTTACAAAGAGAAAATTTTCATGCGGGAAAAGCTGATGAAACTCTTCCCCCCCTTCTCTCTTTTTTTCCCTCCTTTCTTTATTTTAAAATGAATCTACAGTTGCTCTGGATATATTCTGTTTCATAATAGCAAGGTTGTCTACATCATCCTGGAATGTGTCCTTACGTGAAAATATTCAAGAATAGTGCAAGAATGTACTTGTAATCAGGCTGCGCAACAATGCTCTTCCTATGCGCTCTATGTATATGTCAATAGAATACGATCACGGTGTAGGAAGTGGTTCACTTGCAAGGTCAATCGTCCGAAACGTAGACCTAACGATCGATCTCCTGCGGACGCCGCGTGCCGTTCCACGGGAATGTCACAGCCAGAAACGGAGTCGATGTTCGACATTGTCCCGGCCGAATGTAAGGGTGAGCCAAAACAGCGTTCCCCGACGTTGATCTACGACCAATAAATTACCGAAAGAATCGTTCCACATTGCAACGAGCGTTGGACGAATGGTCACGGACAAGAGTAGACAACATAGGACATTAAATCATAGCAATTTCCACAGGGCACAATCAGAGTCTGTGATTCATCTCCGCTCTCGAGAAATTCTCCGAGTGATGCATCGTGATAGTAAACCGAGAACGTATCAGTCGTATGTAGCGTCCGTTTGCAATTTTGTACTCTAAAGTGAATGAACTCAATAATAGTCCTTGCCAATCGTAACGCACTGAAATCCCCGCATTGCGGAGCAGATAAATATACAATATTGTTTCTACATACAACTCGCTGAACTCCGCAAGTCACATCCTATGCACAATTTGTCGAATAGGATGTACGTTGGCGAGAATCCAGGCGACGCGGTTGAAGTGGATATGAACATGATTTACCTCAGCATATGATATATATGATCGCAATATTCAGAACGGACTTGGAATGCTCTATTATAAGCATAATCCACTTACAAACAGCGTCGCGTCTAGTTCTGCGCAAATAAGCGCACTTATCACTGCGGTAACTTCGACTCAAAGTTTTCGATGAGCGTGTATGCTACACGAAATAATAGCATATAAGCAGCATAGCAGTGATAACGGATTACTCGCAACTGTCTTATTCCATTTGACTCGCGCCTGTATTATTTCCTTTGATTGGGCGAGCCTCCATCGATCCGTATTCGATCCGGCTGCTGTCTCTCACCGTTGCTCCAGAAGATTCGGGATTGGCTCAAATATGACTTCCACTTCGGAAAACCATTAAAATCAATTACAAGCTTTCCTCGTCGTCCGCATCAGCGTTGATAACGATGTATTACTCGTTAAGCACCGCAGTGCATTAAGATGGTCTACACAGCTGGCGGTAATTAAAAGCGGAGCAATTCCCGGTATCCACGCTTATACTCGTAAGTCCCCTTTACAGATCTCCTCGTTATACTAATCATTACAATCCGTCTGTGAGCCTGGCACGGAGATGGGAGCGCGAAGATGGTGAGAAATAGCGAAAGATGGTCGGAGAATTTTGCGACAGAGATAGAGAGATAGAAAGAGAGAAAATTTTCTGGCCTCGTGCTTTTTCGTAGAATACGTTAACATTACAATGTAATGCCACTTTTAAAGCCAATCTCGCGTATATAAAGTATTTTGATTTAAACACGTGAATTGCGCTTTTAATTAATCCGGGAATTAATCCGGGTGTTTTTTACACCCCAAAAATGTAAAAAAAAATGGGATTTGTAAAATATTGTTTGGTATAGATATTGTTTAACAAATCTTTGGTTTTTAATAACTATATTTTTTATGAAATTTTAAACATGCAATTTCATCGAAAATAAAAAGCGTTATATTAATTAATCTTATTTTTGAGAAATATTGTCATAATAAGTTAACTTATTCTGTTTAATATTTGTTTGGTTTTTTATTTACTTTTTTCAAGAAAATTGTAATTGAATCCATATTTTCATAATGCTTTTAAACGCTAATAAATTAAAAAGCAATCAATAATATATATTAACGATTTTAATTAGGAAAAACACTTCAGATGACATTTATATAAAGAAAAAAAATAAGATGACTACTCCCTGTTAAAACATAATGGCAGTGTTTAGCAAAGAAAGCTGATCAGTGAGCAATCAGTGATTCTTTGATACGATTGGTTCTTGCCTTTTTCACTGGATCTAAGTGTAGAAACCAATTATAATGAAGAATCACTGAGCGCTCACTGATCAGATTTCTTTGCTGAATGCAGCCATTAACTGGCATTATTATACAACTATGTTCGGTCACGTATGTAGTTAGTAATGATCTTAAAGCGGAAGCACAGATCTCTGCATAATGCATTAAACATAAGAAAATTAACCAATCAGATTCTCTTATTTCATGGAAAGGAAGGATTTAATTGATTCACTTTCCTGTGCGTTATGCAAGTCTCTGTGCTCCTGTTCTTATGTGGCATTTCATCAAAATCGTATAATGATTTATGTCTTCAGCCTCTATAGTTTAGGCAAAATCCCATCGAAGAATCGTTGGAATAAAAAACATGTACGCATGTTCCTTCGTGAATTATAAATTCGGGCGCTAGAGATCTAGGAGATCTAGGAGAAATACACGTAGGTGCAGCTGCTCGGCAATAATACTGTCGCCAAATCGCGATGCATCATTTTATCGCACCGCCTACGACGCCATTAACTTTATAGCACCAGAGCGTGCCTCCCGGCATGCAAACGCCTCGACTTCCATTACCGGCGTGATACGTCGACTATTAAACAGAAATATCTCCCATCATCTCTCGCCTGCCGGTGTGTCTTAAACTCCGAGAATCTGAACTGTTGCGGATTTTTTACTATCATTTCCGGATAGGATGTTATCTTCTTTCATCAACGCATTCGTTCTACGTTATTACATCGAAATATAGAAGCATGTTTGTAGGAATTTTTTACTAAATATGATATTTTTTATTAAAAAATTTATAAATCGATTAATCAAATAATAGAAATCTCAAGAATAGTCTCTTGAAAAAGACATCTGCACGTTTACGTATCATTTCGACGCTTGATTCTTTATATTCATGCGCGGAGGCCTCTCTCATTCGCTTCCTCCATTGAAAGGCTTACGAATCGCTGAAATACACGGCTTCAGATTTTCAGTATTCGGGTCGGATTGATTAAGTTCTTGGTAAGATGACGGTGTTACGACAGAGAAGCGTCCAAAGGTTGTCACTGCTCTTATATTCTCGTTCGTTCGTTTGCCCGTCCTTTTCTTTCTTCATTACGTTTCGAGCTTAATCATCATCGCGATTTGTGAACACTGAAAATTTCTGTGTGTGCGTGAGCATGCATTTCTGCAGTATGTCAGAAACGGCTTGCAGATGATTAGCTTCCTTGAAACGAAGACTGTACCATTCGCATGCCTCAGTCTTTGCCGCCGTTGATTCTCTCCTTTTCAGCTTACTGCTTCTAATAATACTGGCGCCGAGCGATTATAAACATAACATTGAAGACACGCAAGGTTGTAATTATCCCTAAATATGACTCATTTCGAGATATCAGTAATCACTAAACTAATTTTCTAATTTACTTTAATATAAACGTTACGATTTTAATCTAGAAATAAGTGATATTAGAGACGTTATCTTTCTACTTAAATAATAAAATAGTATATTCTTTCTGCTAAATAGAAAAACATGTACGCGGATCAAAGTATTAACGTCAGAAGAAGAGACAGAGAAAGTGAAAGATCAACATATGCAAGGAGGGGGATGTGGAATCGTATAATTTACCGTGCTAAAATATTAAAGACAGAAGACTACTGTGGCATCCCCAGGGGTATCGACACCCCCTAACCTCGGAAACTCAAGAAACGTAACGGTACCTGCGAGGCTCTCTTAAAAATTCACGAGTCGAGGCCACAACGGCGCTTTTTATCTCATCAAATAGTAATGCCGGGCATTGGACCGTTAGGAGACGGGATCCCCTCAGGCTTTCCTGATCACGCGTCACGTATATTGTCACGGTGTGCCGAGGGGAAAAAATTTAATACGTCTTATTATTTTTGCATTAAATAATTTACTAAAATCTTTATGCTTTTTCAAAATTTTTCTTTCCCTATCGAATCTTTTATTCACCTGCTGTACGCTTTAAGAATGGTTGCGAAGAAGAGCTCTCGATGGTATGATCGAAACGTGAGTGTTGTACAAAGAGTGAAATGCATTCGTGATAAATTCATATAGAAATGATGTACGATTGGTTGGCATCATATTGTCCCTTTAACGCCGAATGATGTCTACATTCTCGATTCGCAGTCGTGTCAGGTGGTAACCTTCGTTACGCATAAAATTTTCGCGAACTGACCTGACATTTCAGCAGGACGAAAAGTGCCTTTCGTTGTCGATCGGTGCCGTAAGTCACTTTTTCCTAATGGAAGCCGTCACTCCGCACCTTTTCGTCCTGCCGCGGCCTCGCACGGTTGGCGACGTGCGAAGGGAAAGAAGGGGGGAAGGAGTGAGAGAGCCTGGGATTCAATCTGCATTCAATATTGATTCCAATCCGATATCGTGGATTTCCATTTTTGTGATTTACTTCTTACCCCGGCAGTACCGGTACTATCTGTA